GTAAAGCATGACATTATAGAAACTACCGCAGTGTGTGTACATGCCGTCGGTCATCTTGTTCCTTCTATCCAGGGTGGGAGAGGTTGATATGACTCACAATATCACCGTGGGCGTGGACCTCAACCGTGATATTTTCCCTAACATCCAAAGTGGGAGAGGGTGATATTTCTTCCGATTTCGCAGTGGCTGTGATATGGTTCCTAATATCCAGATGGCGAGAGGATGATATCAGTCTCAATATTGCAGGAGGTGTACACTCCCTGGTGATATTGTTCGTAATATCCAGGAACGGAGAGGATGATATCACTCCCAATAAAGCAGGGGGTGTACACCCCTTCTGTGACATTGTTCCTAATAGCCAGCCGGGGAGAGAAAGATATTACCGCCAATATCGCAGGGGTGTACACCCCTTTGGGATATTTTTCCTTATATCCTGGGAGGGAGACGATGATACTAGTGGCAACATCGCACGGGTTGTACACACCCACTGTGCTATTGTTCCGAATAACACGATATGACTCCCAATAACACAGGGGGGGGTACATCCTCCAGTGATATTGTTTCTCATATTCACGGGGAGAGGATGATATGACTCCCAATATCGCAGGGGTTGTACACACCTCCTGCAATATTGTTCCCAATATCCCGAAGGGGAAAGCATAATATTACTCTCAATATCTCAGGGGGTGTACACCTCCTTCGTAATATTTTTCTTAATATCCATGATGGGAGAGGATGATAAGACTCCCAATATGGCAAGAAGTGCACAGCCGCCTGTGATATAGTTTCTTACATCCAGGTAGGGAGAGGATGATGTTACTGCCCATATCGTACAAAGTGTAAAACCCCTTCGATATTTTGCCTACACTCCTGAGGGGAGAGGATGATATTACTCCCAATATCGAAGAAGGCGTACAACCCCCTGGGACACTACGCCCAATATCCACGTTGGGAGATGACGACAATATGCCCAATATCGCAGGGGATGCACACCCACCCTAAGATATTGTTCCTTATATCGAGAGTGGAAGAAGACGCCATTACTCCCAATAACGCAGGGGCTGTGGCTGTACACCCCTCCTGTGATATTGTTCTTTATATCCTAGGGAAGAGAGGGTGATACTACACCCAATACCGCAGGGGGTGTACACCCACTCACTGATGTTGTTCTTAATATATTCCACCTCCCACCACCAGGGATATCCTTCCTAATATCCAGGGGAAGAGAGGATAACATTATGCCCAATATTGCAGGGGAGTATACACACCCTCTGTGATGCTGTTCCTAGTATCCAAAGGTAGAGACGATGATATTACTGGCCATATCGCAGGGGGTGTACACCCTTCTGTGATATCGTTTTTGACTTTCAGCTTGGGGAGAGGATAACATTAATTCCAATATCGCAGAAGGTGTACAGACCCCTGTGATGTGGTTCCTAATGTACAGGGGAAAGAGAAGAATATTGCTCTCAATGTCGCAGGGGATGTAACCACCTTGTCCCCTGTATATTGTTCCTAATATGTAGGGGGGGGGAGGCTGACAGTACTCCCAATATCCCAGAAGGTGTACACACACCTGTGATATAGTTCCTAATATCCAACGGGAAAGAGGCTGATTTTACTTTCGATATCGCAGTGGGTGTACACCGCCCCCAACCCCGGGGTATCATTCCTAATATCCAGGCAGGAAAAAGATGACATGGCTGACAATATCAAAGGGGGTGGACAACTCTTCCGTGATATGGTTCCTGATATCCAGGGGGTGAGTGAATGATGTGTACACCCCGCCTGTGATATGAATCATAAAACCTAGAAGAAGAATGACATTGCTTTCAAAAACACACGGGGTGTACATCCACCCTGTCATATTGTTCCTGTCATCTAAAGGAAGAGATGATGATACTACTCCCACTACCAGAGAAGGTACACACCCCCCTGTGATATTGCTCCTCATAACTTGTAGGGGAGAGCATGATATTACTTCCAGTATGACAGTGGCTTGGCACCCAGTCTGTGATATTGGTTCTGCACACCAACTCTGTGTCCCTCGTTTCCCATGCGTTCTCTCCTCACTGTTGGAACCTCGGGGGAGACTTTGTCTTTGGTTACACATGAAGAGACGAGGGGTCTGAGAGGTTAAGCAAGTTTGTTACTGGAAAGGGGTCCCCGATCCAGACCCCAAGAGAGGTTTCTTGGATCTCACAGAAGAAAGAATTCGGGGGGAGTCCATAAAGTGAAAGCAACTTTATTAGGAAAGAAAAGGATAGAAGAATGGCTACTCTGGCCGGACGCAGCGGCTCACTCCTGTAATCCTAGAACTTTGGCATGCCGAGGCAGGTGGATCACCTGAGGTGAGAAGTTCGAGACCAGCCTGGTCCAACATGGCAAAACCCTGTCTCCACTAAAATACAAAACATTAACGGTGTGGTGGCAGGTGCCTGTAATCCCAGCTACTAGGAAGGCTGAGGCAGGAGAATCGCTTGAACCCAGGAGGCGGAGGTTGTAGTGAGCCAAGATCATGCCATTCTAGTTCAGTCAACAGAGCAAGACTCCATCTCAAAAAAAAAAAAAAAAAAAAAAAAAAAAGAATGGCTACTCCATAGGCAGAGTCGCCCCAAAGGCTGCTGGTTGCCCATTTTCATGGTTATTTCTTGAACATACACTAAACAAGGGTTGGACTATCCATGAGTGTTCCAGCAAAGGGGTGGGCAATTCCCAGAACTGAGAGTTTCTGCCCTCCCTTCTGAGACCATGTAGGGTAACCTCCAGATGTTGCCATGGCATCTGTAAACTGTTCTGGCGCTGGTGGGAGTGTCTTGTAGCAGTTAATGCATTATAATTAGCACATAATGAGCTGTGAGGGCAATCAGAAGTCACTCTCGTGGCCATCTCGGGTTTGGGGCTTTGGCTGACTTCTTTACTGCAACCTGCTTTATCAGCAAGGTCTTTATGACCTGTATCTTGTGGGGACCTCCTATCTCATCCTGTGACGAAGAAGGCCTAGCCTCCTGGGAATGCGGCCCCGCAGGTCTCAGCCTCCCTTTACCCAGCCCCCATTCAAGATGGAGTCGCTCTGGTTCACGTGCCTCTGACAAGTTGGCCTGGGTTGAGTGTTCTCTAGTGTGTGGTTGCTGGAGCTGTTCGTAGGAGTAAGAGGTATTGTCAGTAGGAAACAGGCCTCTGTTAGCCCGGGGACTGGCACTCTGCCCCAGTATGTTGGTCTCATTTTAGTGGTGACAAAACTGGGGCTCACAGACATCAACTCCCTCATCCTGAACCCCTGGACTGTCAGTGGTGGGCTGGGGTTTGAATGTGGGGCTTGAAGACCCATCATCTCCTCTGGTCCCCCAGTCTCTGCTGCCCAAGAGGAACAGGATCCCAGGATCCAGGCCCCTCAAGGCACCAGCCAGGGTGGGTGGAGATGAGAAGGTACAGATCCAAAGACCCCCGGACTCTGAGGCAGGTCGGGGACCGAGAGCAAGCTGGACCTGTGGACCCCACCCCGAGAAGAATGGCTGCAGACCCGGCCCAGCGGGCAGGAGGTCTGTGTCTTCAGTCAACGTGACGGCGCTTCCGGCTCCTCCAGCCAGGCCGTGCTGTCTTCATGTTTCCAGTCATGCGGCCTCCTCTCCAATTCCCAAGCCCAACCCACAGAGACAGCGATCTGGGGTCAACCTGGTTTGTCAGCAGCTCTGACCCGCTGCTTCCAGCCAGCCCCGCGGCCGGTTCTGGAAAGCTCTCTGCTGCCCCCTGCTGGGGAGGCTCGGGACAGGGCTCTGGCAGCAAGCATGGGGTCCCAGAACCTCCAGGCTCTGTCACCTCTGCTGGGTGGAAAACTAACCCAGGACTGAAGCAGCAGATGGCTGCCTGATTCCTTATTATCAGAGCTCCGCCCACTGGCAAGTCTCTCTCCGGGCCTCAGTTTCCCCTTCCATTAAATGAGGGGCTTGGGGGATACCAAGGAGGGTTAACTGCTTAGTGAGGATGGGAGGTTTCTTCTGGGGAGATGAATACATTTTGAAACTAGATGGCGTGAGTGGTTGCACAGGACTGTGAATGCACAGATGCCACCACATTATTTGCGTTGAAATAGTTCATTGCATGCGATGTGAATGTCACCTCATTTAAAGTGTTTAAAAGAGGGGCCTGGGAGAGTGCAGTGTATGTGAGAATCACGTGGGACACCCGCAGTCTCTGAACCTCGGTTTCCTTGCCGTAAACTGGCAAAGAGACCGTGTGAGCTGTGTTCCTGGGGCCCAGAGATTCCAAGAAGGAAAACCTGGGATTCCTGGGACTGGGATGAGGGCCGGGGGCCGGAAGGGGAGCGGTATGTGGGGACGGCTGGGGGGCAGCCCAGATAAGGCTTTCAATACTGGGTAGCAGCGTCTACACAGGCGGAGATCCCTGCATCTCACTTCCTGCAGGGCTGACCAGTGGCCAGAGGTGGGACTGGCCAGGCCTGGCCCAACCAAGTCTGGGAGCAGAGGACACTGAGTGACGGATCCCCGGGGCCACCCTCACTGGCCTGTGGCTCTCCTGACACCACAAGAGAGGCCCAGGAGCTGACCTTGGGTCCTCATGGGGGACACCTTCCTGGCTGCAGGCTGGCAGGGTGGTGTGGTGGTCAGTGTACTGGACTCTGCGTCTCCACCCCTACCTGCTGTGTGACAGTGGGCCAGACACCTAACCTCTCTGTGCCTCTATTTCTTCAATGGCAAACAGGGACACTAGCAGCCCCCACATCCGGGCGCAGTGGCCTGAAGGTTAAAGGCAAGGGCGGCACGAGACCTACAGCAAGAGCTCTGAGCAGGGAGAGCAGGGAGCTGCCCAGAGAGTTCCACCACCATCTCCCCTCTGGCCACCAAGGAAACCAAGGCTCATGGTGACCTGGCCCAGGTCTGTTGGACTCACAGTAGTTCTCATCCCCAAGATCAGAGGGCTGCCACCAGGGAAGGAGATGGCCCTTAGACACAGCCCAGGAAGCACACAGGGAAGGATAACCTGGGGACTTCAGTAGGTTATTGCAAAAAAAAACATTGATTGCTATTTGAACCCTGCTTTCATGCCTCCATTTCCCAGAAAATGAGCCACGGGAGACACCAGGAGAGGCAGGAGACCGTCCTCCTTGCACAAAACCCACTCCCTTGGATGCTGTCCTCAGCGAGGGTGGCTGGGGCCAACCAGGGGGTCCACCCGCAGAGTGGCAGAGGCGGCAGGTTGACCCTGCGGACGCTGAGCTCTGTAGCGAAGGTCCTGGCCTTCTGGTAGAAGAGGAGCGACTTCTCACGGTCCAGGAGGAAGTTGTGGGAGATGGTGGCCGGCCGCGTGTAGATCTTCAGCTGTGCCTTCTTGTTGCCCAGGTCCACGGTGGCTGCCAGTGCCAGCTGGTAGTACCCGGTTACATCAAACAGGTCCTGAAGGGGACAGGTCATGCTCAGCAAAAGGGGGACTCGGAGCCCGTCTTCCCAGAGGCCGTTCCTGTCTCCAGGTCATTCCACATGTCCAGCCAATGCTGGCTTACCCCATGAACCCCGAAGCCTGTGACACTGCTGTGGTCTCAGCTGCAGGAGGTGGGGACGACCCTGACACCCCTGGAAGCCTTCCTGACTGCCCCTACACCCCCTCACCCCCAGCCTCCTGCCCCAGTGCCACCCTCTCTGCAGGCAGTGGCTGCTTTCCCCATGGGCTGAGGTCAGGGCAGATCCTGCCTGCTCTGAGAGTTCCATGCAGGACCCGTGGCTCCAAGCCACAGCAGGGGCACAGCGTTGAGTGACCCAGGCTCCCCTCTGGCCCCTGTCCATGCTGACCATTTCCAGGCCCTCCACGGGACAGGCCAGGTACAAAACCATCTCACAGGTGTCCTCTCTGGCAATGTTCCCTGAAATATTGACAGAGTGTGACTCCCCAGACATCCACTCCCATTTTCAATGCATCTTTGGCTCAAACTCACCATCCCTGGGTTGGGATGCCGCCTCCCAGACCTCCTGCTTGACCCTCCCATCCCCAACCAGCTTCTCCCCAGGCGCCTTCTCCACATGGGGGTCACCCAAGGAACCTCTCTAAGACCCATGCCTGGCCTGTCCCTCTTTACCATCTCAAGATGGCTCCCAGGGCCAAGGACAAAGTCCAAGATGCAGCAGTCCATTCCCCCACTGCCCCACCCCACACACGGAGCAGGGGCGTGAGAAGGCCCCGAGTCACTGCCACTGCTCATCCAATGCCCCCGGCCCAGCCGAACACTGGACTCTGTGCTGGGTGCGTGGCTGAGCCTAACGTCCTTGCTCCTATTCCGAGGGACCTGGGAGTGAACACTGACCACACAGGGTGGCCCGGGCTGTGGCAGAGGGAAGCCCAGGAGCCTGTGGGGGGCCCAGGAGGCCCCAGACTCAGCCGGGGGTGGAAGGCAAAGGCTTCCTGAAGGGGTGGGGGCATCCCAACTAAACTGGAAGGAGCCAGCCAATGCCTCTGCGTGTGCCTGTGCGTGTGCCTGTGTGTGCGTGTCTGTGTGCCTGTGTGCATGCTTGTGTGTGCGTGTTCGTGTGCCTGTGTGCATGCCTGTGTGTGTCCGTGTGCCTGTGTGCATGCCTGTGTCTGTGCGTGTGCCTGTGCCCGTGTGCATTTGCGTGTGCATTTCCACGTGCCTGTAGTATGTGCAGCAGCTAGTGAGTGGCAGGCTGAGCCAGGACACACCTAATCCTCCCTATTCCAGGGCTCGCTCTCATGTGGAGACTAAAGGGGACCCCATTTTAGGGCAATCGGCCAAGATGCCCATTTACCCCTGCCTCTCTGCCAGCCTTCCAGGCTCCATGCAGCCCGGCTGTTTCTCCCACTCCTCTGGGCCCTGGGTCCAGAGCCTCCTATACAAGGAGGAGGGCGTAGCCTTGAAAAGACAGCCACCATTGGGGAATTCCAAGGGGGCCTCCCTGTGGGAAGCTGGCCTGCGCTGACAGCATAGTCACGATGAGGCCCAGAGGGCTGTGCATGGGAAGGAGGTGAAGGAGGCCTCTGCCTCTCAACCCCAACCATGGACTTTGGCCTCTCAGGTACTACTTGGCCCTTTCCTTCCTCCTGAACAGGTGGAGTGGGCGGCAGGCTTGACCAAAAGAGATAAAGGCCTCTTCTGGGAGGCCCGTCCCCCTGGGTCCCAGGGGAGCCCCTGAGCGGTGAGCAGCGTCCCTCTGGGTCTGACACGTGGCACCTCCCTGTCTGGCTGGGACTTGCAAGGCCACAGGGACCACTTCTGACCACCAGGTGTCAACAGCACTGGGCGGGGGCCTCCCGGGCAGCCCCAGGCCTGCGGTGGGGGATATGGGGCGGGGTCTTAGGGCTGCCCCAGCTCCTCATGTTGTTCTAAGGCCCCCAAGATCTTGGCCCCAGGACTGGAGTGCCCTGGCCCCTCAGCCCATAAGGAGCACTGACACGGTGCTGGTGCGATGCTGAGGAAGGGCGGTGCCTGCGGGGCAGAGGGGTGGAGACACCCCAGGTCTGAGTCTGCCAGTCCCAGCACTCCACCCCTGCAGGGCTGGGGGCAGACGGAGCACAGCACCTCCCCTCCAGACAGACCCGACCCAGCAAGGCCTCAGCCTGGCTGGCTGGGGCCCCGCCCCACTGCACCTGCCGTGAGCTGGGGTTTCCCCATCTGTGAACCCGATGGTAAGACCCTGGTCCCACCCCACCCTTCCTGGGTGATGTGAAGATTCAAGGTGTCTCGGGACTCCAGGAAGGAGTTGCTCAGTGCAGGCTGGCACCCTGGGCAGGCTTCCTAGAGGAGGTGCCAGGATTTGGGTTGGATCTTGCAACGTGGATTCAATGTGAGGATGATGCCATCCTCCGAAATGTCCTTCTCCCGACCCTGTTTTCTTTGTTACATGCAACTTGACACTCGACTGTCAAGACTCAGCTTTGGTGTCACCTCCTCCAGGAGGGTCCCCCTGACTACAATCCTCCTTCTTTACCCAGAGGCCACCATTGCCCACTCATGTGTCAGCCTCCCTGGCTGAGACTGAGTTCTTGAGGGTGGGGCCTGGCCAGCTTGGGAGCTGGGTTGTATCTGCTAACACTGCCGGCTTCTCCAGCCACGTGCAGAGCTCCAGGGAGGCCACTGGGCCATTCCTAAGGAAGGCTGGAACCCAGGCCTCTGGGGTCTGGGTGGAGATCCCACTCCAAGGGGGCTGAGAACACCCCGAGCCCTGCCCCTCCCCACCCACCTTCAGGTCGTAGAAGATGATGTCACAGAGAACCACGTACACCTTCATGTAGTGGAGGGTCTCCTCGTCGAACTCCAGCGGCGAGTTGCAGAGCTACAGGGTCTTGAGGTAGAAGTGCTCCGCCAGCTTGCCATGGCCCAGCCGGTGGTGCAGGGTGGCCAGCCGGTGGTAGGCCACGCGCTCGTTCAGCCGGTCCCCTGGGGTGCAGGCCAAAGGGACAGGTGTGAGGACGTGGCTCTCTGGGGCAGGGAGGGCACAGGCCCCTCAGGAGCAGATATGCAGACCCCGGGCAGCACACCTGGCTTGCCTCCAGGCACCTGCGGTCACCTGGGCAGCTCTGGCCAGTCCCTTCCGGGTTCCCAGACTCACTTTCCCACCTGCAAAGCAGAACTAATAAGGCCTGCCCCTGTCTACTGTGAGGTTTTGGCAAAGTCGGACTTGGATGGCCCAGCTCTGTGCCTACACATAGCCACCTGCCTTTGCTCACTGGTTTTAACCAGGGGAGCCCAAAAGCCATGTAGTCCGGGTGCTCCCGGGCACCCCGGCTCCAGGCAACCCACAGACGTGACATCCGACTCCTCCTGGGTGTGTCACGATCAGAGCCCCCTACTTTGGGGAGTCAGTTGCACACCTACTGTGTACTGGGCCACAGGGCACAAGGCGCTGGGGCATGCGGCCTGCCTAGGGTTCCCTGTCTCTGGAGGGGGACAGACGACCCTGGCACAGCACCAGGGGATGCCCGGCCTTAAGGGGCAGACTGCTGGAAGGGGAACTGGGATTTTATCAGCCAGATAGCCATGTGGTTGATGAGGGTGGGAAGGGCACAAGAGAAAGGGAATGTGCCACTCAGTCTGGCACATACATGGACCAATGAGATGCCTGGCATGTCTGGAAGGCAGAGGGCACACTGGGCAGCCCCTGTGGTCAGCAGCGGGAACAGGCAGAGGAAACAGAGCTCACTGCGTGAGAGACCTCGGGCTGTGCCCTACAGCCAGACGGGGAAGCCAGTTGGGCAGATCTGCCTGCCTGGACAGGAGACCAGGAAAATCCAGCAGCTGTTTCAGCTCCTGCCCTGCAGACCTGGAGGTTGGGCTCTGGCAAAGTGTGGGTCCTGGCAGGATGGGGGCTCAGGGGACTTACCCAGAGTGATCCTGAGTGCTAGGGCCACGTAGGCAAACTCCAAGCCCTCCTGGGGCTTCTCCAGTGTGGCCAGGAGTGCCACCAGCTTGTTGCACAGCTGTAGCTGCAGCTCCACCTTGCGGTTGCCCGTAGTCACCGCCAGGGCCAGGACCCAGTCCTACCACACAGGCAGGAGGGGTCAGGTTTCCCGCAGCACCCACCATGCCCAGCGCCCTCCTCAGAGCTCAAACATGTGCTTGGATCTTCCCACGGCCCAGCTACCCCTGCACCTCCACACAGCTCTGTGCTCTGGGATAACACAGAGTTCAGACACCCAAGTTGGGGGATGAAGAGTCACCTGAGGCCCATCCAGCTACACCCGGCAGCCTCAGACCAGCCTCTCCCACCTGGGCACCGGGGGTCTGACTGGGGGAAGCCAGCACTCCTCTCTGCTCTAAAAACACCACATTTATCTGTGCCCAGGGCTGAGCCACACCGTGAGCTCAGAGGAAGGGAGAAGCCATCCCACTTCGGGGTGCATGCAGACCTGGGCCTCCCACTGACATGCTGTGTGTCCTCTGACATGTCCCTGTGCCTCTCTGAGCCTCAGTTTCCTCATCTGAAAGATGGGGACAGGACTTCCCGCTCATGGTTGCTTGAGATAATCAGGTACAAGGGTAGAGCCATTGTCACATCCAGGCCCCGAGCATTTGTCCCAGGCAGGGGCACGGTCAATATCATTCCCGGTGAGACCACTTGGAAACTTAGCATGTGCATGGGTGGCCCTGCCTCCAGGTGGGAGGCCTCTGCCCTGCCACACCTGTGCCTCAGCCCTCCAGGTGCCTCCCTGAGGCCCACCCACATCAGCCCACAGGCCAGCTCACCCGGTAGAAGGACACGGCTTTCTCCCGCTCCCAGGCCCCATTGAAGAAGATGTCTCCAGCTGCCTCAAACAGCTCCAGCCCCAGGTTGGGGTCGCCTGTGTACAGGACCACATTCTGTGCCACCTGAAAGGAGACAGAAGTTCCCTCAAGACCCACACCTGGCGAGGTGGCCACGCCCACGTTTGTCATCCTCCTTCCTCTCACACACTACAGGTACATCTGAGCATTTTTCAGACCCTGTGCATTAGGGCTGCCCCCACCACTGGCATGAGGACAATGAACTGATGCACCTGAGTGCCAGGAGGTGACTGAGCAGCTGCAGCCCAGGAGCCCGACACCTGTGAATCCTACCACCAGGGCTAGCCCTAGCCCACTCCCTCTGCACTCAAACCAGTCTCTGTGGCCCCCAGATTGCTGGGAGCCCATCCCCTGGCTCCTTTCTGCGTTGCCACATCCCTGCCACAACAACAGTGTTTGTGGGTGGGCCTGGTCCCCTCTTGGCCATGAGCTCTTGATCCCTCTCCTCAACTCAAGGAGGTATACAGCAGGCTCAATAATGAAAGCTTCACCAGGCTCGTGGGCTTCACAATTTGTTCCAGATCACACTGTGTTTGGGAAAGCCTCTGAAAACAGCCACTATGACAGATTCTTTTTGTAAGGAGATGTGCCACGTGTCGCTTGGAGCAAGTTCTTCTGTGTGTTAACTGAGTGGTCACATTATTTGAGCATGTGCTGTATACCAGCAGGTGCTGGGCACTGTGAGGGGCCGCGCCTCTGCCCTCAGGGAGATGCTGGCCACTGGGGGAGGATGTGAGGGAATCAATTGGAGGGAGGGAAAAGGCACACAACAGGTGCTCAGCAGTGGCTTAGGAATGAGTGGATGGATGGATGAGTGGATGAGGAGATGTAGACACATGGATGGATGGATGAGTGTGTGGATAGATTAATGTTGGGATGGATGGATGGATGGATGGACGGACGGATGAATGGATGGACGGATGGGTAGGTGGATGGATGGGTGGATGGATGGATAGATGGATGGGTGGAATGATGTGTGTATGTCTGTATGTACGTATGGGTGGGTAGATAATGTATGGATGGGTGGAGGGTAGATGATGTATGTGCATATGGACGGATAGATGGTGGATAGATGAACGTATGGATAAACAAACTGACAGATAGATGAATGGAGGGATGGATTAATAGGTAGATTGGTGGGTGGATGGATGAATGATGGATGGATGGACGAACAGTGAATGGATGGAAGGGAGAAAGGATGGATGATGGTAGGATGGATGGATGGATGAATGGATGGGTGAATGGATGATGGATGGATGGAAGGATGAACAGGTGGATGGATGGATAATGGAAGCATGGATGGATGATGGATGGATAGATGAATGGATAAATGGATATGTGGATGATGGATGGATGGAAGGATAAAAAGGTGAATGGATGGATGATGGAAGGATGAATGGACAGATAGATGGAACAACAGGTGAATGGATGGATAGATGGGTAAATGGATGGACAAAAGGATGGATGAATGATGGATGGATGAATGGACAGATGGATGGATGATGGATGGATGGATGATGGATGGATGGAAGGATGAACAGATGAATGGATGGATGATGGAAGGATGGATGGATGGATGGATAAACGGATAGATGGATGAATGATGGATGGATGGAAGGATGAACAGGAGGTGAGTAGATGGCTGATGGAAGGATGGATGGATGACAGATGGATATATGGATGAATGGATAAATGGATGAATGGATGAATGGAGTGCAGTGAGAAGTGACCGGGCACTGAGAAGGGCAGACAGGGACTCTACCTCGGTGGCCTGCAGCACTCCTGAGCCTCGGCCTTTACTTTTCTATCTGTACAAGGGATCTAAAGGCCCGTGATTCTAGGCCACAACAGCTCTTCATACACACATACACAAACATCACATGCCTACGTGAAAAGCTGTGACACTTGTCTGATTTCCTAAAGAAGTTATCTTGTATCATTTCTACTCAAGTACTCCACCTCCTTCCAGACAAGTATCTGAGGATGATGGGCTATCCCACAGCAATGTGTGTAACCTCTCCTGCTTATGATCCCTGTTCACATAGCATTTTCCAAAAGCATTTGGTGTGAAGTGACAGAAGAAAGAAGAATAAGGTTCTTTCAGCCCATTCATTCATTCATTCAACAAATATTGACTAACTAACTACGTGCCAGGCACTGGTGATATAACAGGGAACATATATTTTTGTAGGTAGAGACAGACAACCAAAAAGTGTGTTAAAGAGGGATCAATGCTGTAGAGGAAAATACACCAGGAAACAGGAAAGAAGAATACCCCTAGCCACCCTACACTGAGGTGACGCTATCGTCACAAAATGGAAACAGCGGCCGGGCACGGTGGCTCACACCTGTAATCTCAGGTCTTTGGGAGACTGAGGCAGGCAGATCACCTGAGTTCAGGAGTTCAAGATCAGCCTGACCAATACGGCGAAACTCTGCATCTATTAAAAACACAAAAATTAGCTGGACATGGTGGCACATGCCTGTAATCCCAGTTACTCAGAAAGCTGAGGCACAAGAACCACTTGAACCTGGGAGGCAGAGGTTGGAGTGAGCTGTCACGCCACTGCACTCCAGCCTGGGTGACAGAGCAAGACTCTGTCTCAAAAAAAGTAAAAATAAAAATAAAATGTAAACAGAGAATAAGATACCAAAAGAAAGAACATGAACGATTAATTGTAACAAAAGCCTTTGTAAGCTGATACTTTCCTTCCTGGATCCTTGTCCCTTACAAATGGAAAAAAACGGCGCGTAGGGGGTAGCATCAAAATGATGTTTTAAGATGGCTTCGGGTTTCAAATGTCTGACAGCCATACCCATATACTTCAAGGAAAAAGTTCTAGCTCTGTAAGCCACCTGGGCAATGGTTTAATGTCTTTTTTATTTTTTCCAGAGTTTTTAAAATACAGGAAAACGTGTGTGTTTATTTGGCTGCTCTGTGCCCGCACACGTGCTAACTGTGCTAACAGGTTTTTCCATGTTTTGCTGAATTTGCCAGCTTGCCATAAACAGGCTTCCATGTCTTATTGTGGGGCAGGGATTTACAAAAAATTGTAAAAAATTGTGGGGCAGGGATTTACAAAAGACCACACCGAGCGTGCACAGTTACCTGAGCATAGAGCCACCAGAGCGAGCTATCCAGGAAGAAACAGGGTCATGGAAGCCTGAGCTTCTACACCCAGCTCTGCAACTCATTCACCCTATGACCTTGGTGAAGGCTCTTAGCTTCTGTGAGCCACAAGAGAATCACGGGAAAACAGAAGATATGAAAACTGCTCTGCCTTTTTCACAGAACTGCTGAGGGAATAAAATCAGATAATGGATTTTTAAATTCTCTGTGAATTACGAAGCAAAATACAAACGTATGAAATCATTCTTGCCATTAATAACAGCACTGTAAAATTAAGAACAGAGTTAAGACCACAGCATTTTCCATCCCCCGACTCCCGAGAGAAATAGTGAGTCCAGCTGATGTATTTGGGCAACCCCAGTATCTAGGCTTCGAGAGCCTCAAACAGCTCATAAACTCCGACAGTATCACTCCAGCCCAGTGCTCATTAAGTTCTCCAAGACAGCCACTGACAGAAAATACTACAGCTTTTTCAGCTGGGCTTGAAGCCCTCCAAGCTCACAGCACAGTTAAACAATGAAGAAGAGGTTTTCTGCCACTAGGCTCAAAAGCTGGCTTTTGTAGATTCCCATAGAAAGAACATTCAAGGCCAGGTGTGGCGGCTCATGCCTGTAATCCCAGCACTTTGGGAAGCCGAGGCAGGAGGATCACCTGAGGTCAGAAGTTCAAGAACAGCCTGGCCAATATGGCGAAGCCCCGTCTGTACTAAAAATACAAAAATTAGCCGGGCATGCTGGCGGGCACCTGTAATCCCAGCTACTCGGGAGGCTGAGGCAGGAAAATCGCTTGAACTCAGGAGGCTGAGGTTGCAGTGAGCTGAGATCACGCCACTGCACTCCAGCCTGGGCGACAAGAGCAAAGCTCCATCTCAAAGAAAAAAAAAAAAAAGAGCATTCTTTTTTGCTGATGTTAAATTTCCTGTGCTTAACACAGAGAAATCACACAACACTGAAATCCTGAAAAACATATCATAAAAAGCATTTAGTGACTGAAAAGACATTCAATATAACCTGTAACAGTGAGTTCCCTTCCTCTTTCCAGCCAGCTCCACTAACGCTGTGACCCTTAACAATGCTTTCACTAACACAGAGGAAAATTAATAGGACCGCTTACCCCTCTCAGCTGACAGCTAAACCAGTGCTTCTCCCTGGGCTCACTAAAGATGACCTTACCCAAAACCAGGCTGCAACGACCCTGTAGATGTTGACTAACAATTTCAAAATTCCCATGTTCTTTGTCCACTCTTAAGGAAGATGAACTGAAGCCAGGTGTCTCCAAGTCAGAACTAATAGAGGCCTTAGACATCAGATGGCCCATCCCCTTCTTTGACAACCGGGGGATCTAAAGCTGAGCTTATGGAAGAAAACAGCCTGTTTAGTAACAAAGTGAAAACCAAAGCCTAGACACCCAACCTCTGGTCCAGAACTCCTGCGACAATCCAGAACCCATATAGGATGAGCCTCCCTAACGAGAAACTCCGAAATCCACAACTTTTTCAGTGCCGACGTGACGCTCAAAGAAATGTTCATTGGAGCAGCTCAGATTCTGGATTTTTGAATTCAGGATGCTCAACCAGCAAATATAATACAAATATTCAAAAATCCAAAAATGCAAAAAAATCTGAGACACTTCTGGTTCCAAGCAGTTTGGATGAGGGATATTCAACCGGCATTTTTTTTTTCCTCTAATGAAGGAAATTAAAAACGAGGCCTGAGCAAAGTCATTCAATCCATACTAAAGTCATTCAATAGTTTAATTAGTACCCATTTAAAGTTAAGTGCTACCCACTGATATTTAAAAAGATGAACACATACATGCCTATAATCCCAGAACTTTGGAAGGCCGAGGCGGGAGGATCACCTGATGTCAAGTTCAAGACCAGCCCGGCCAGCATGGTGAAACTCCACCTCTACTAAAAATGCAAAAATTAGCCAGGCATGGTGGCGCACACCTGTTATCCCAGCTACTTGGGAGGCTGAGGCACAAGAATCACTTGAACCTGGGGGGAGCACATTGCAGTGAGCCGAGATCACACCACTGTACTCCAGCCTGGACCACAGAGCAAGACTCTGTCTCAAAAAAAAAAAAGAAAAAAGAAAAAAGAAAATTAATTTAAATTGTGTTTTCACATGGAGCCCATGTTCCCAGAACACAAGCCCTGCTCTATGCTACAAGCGCTCACAGGGTGCCCCTTTATCTTAATACTCACCATATTCCATGGCAGCCATTGGCACGTGTCTGTCCATCGCACTAGACTTCCTGTGCATGAGGCAGGGATCATATATTATTACCTTTCTGTCCCCAATGTCTGGCCTAGAAGACACTCAGTAAATGATTACTAAGTCAGTTACTAAGATATGTTAAACTTGTATTAACAAAGTTGATTTAATAAGTTTGCCAATGCAGCATTCATACCACACAGCTTAAATCTCAACCTGCAGATTTATCTTGTGTTCTGCTAGATTATCACCTATTAAGATTCAGGAGACACCTAGTATGTGCTAGGCGTTACTAATTGCTGGGGACCTAGCACTGACAAAACAACATTCCTTGTTCAAAGAGAAGTTCTGGTATAAAGAGGAACAGAAGGAACAGGCTAGATTGATGAGAGAGCTAAGAAAAGGACAGGCTGCCATGGGAAGCACCTGGTCTTGTCTGGATGGTACATAGTTAACGAAGTCTGAGTGCTGCGTATAGCATAAGATCATCTCCTCCAAAGAAGCGAATGAAGCTTTGATTCCCCAGTACCAGACAGTCACCATAAAGGTACGTACAGCCACATGCTTAGTGTAGGAAGTGAAACCAAACAAACAAACAAAGCTCCAAGTTCCAGAGGCAACGGTCCAATTATGAAATCCTCTGGCTACGTTCAATTGAAATTCAAGGTATTCCAGCGGCCAATATTTAAGTAATAAATTACCCCAACCACTTAAAACTAAAGTAGTCTTTGGTTCAAGGGGTAAGGGTATACTACCTTTTACAAATTTATTAACTCTTAATATTTACATTTAAATATGATGATGGTGGCGTAATAATAACTTTACTGAGTAGGTACGATGTGTTAGGCACCAAACTAAGCACTTTACACACACATTTGCACGATCCTCTGAGATGATAATGACCCCTTGTCATCCCATTTCATAGATGAAAGTCAGGTTTATATAAGCTTAAAAACTTGCCCCAAATGACACAGCCAGTTAGCAAAACCCAGGCAGCCTGACTCCATAGGCCTTGTTTAAAGAAGTAATATTTATAAACTGTCCAGCACAGCAGTGGTACAAACAAGAGTTCAATAAATGCCTAAAGGGTACTTCATACCCAAAATCGTTTCCCACCAATCAAACCACACTTACTCTGGTTCTGCACAACCAACTGTCAAATCATTGTTCCATGAAGAAAAGGTGGAATGGGTAGAGATCAGAATAGAGTGAATAACTGGTAAATACACTTCATGACAGGTAGTAACAGGAGGTGGCATTTAGGCTATTTCCACATTTGTTTGCATAACACTTTTTTTCACAGTTCTAAAGCACAAGAACCATTCTAAGCTGGTGAAAGCATAAGGCATGTCTATGACCCAGGACTCCAATTCACTGCAGATCAGTGGATTTCAACCTTTACGGTATATCAGAACCACCTGGGGGGTTTTAACAGCACTACAGCTGCCCAGGCTCCATTCCTGCAGATTCTATTTCAACTGGTCAGGAGTAAGCACACATGCTTTTTTCACAGCCCCCCAGATGCAGCTAAGTTTGCAAACCACTGACCAAGACGCTCTCACACTTCCGTTCAGTTCAACACACACTCACTGAGATTCTAAGCACTATGAATCGGGCTAAGTTAACAAGTCAGGCTCCACTCCCTAATAATATTGGCAAAGAAACCAATATCAGAGATTTATTCCAGTCCAAACCAAATAAATGGCCGGGTGAAAAAAATGCCCAGGCAAAGTTTGCCACACAAAACAACTTCCTGTATCTTCCCAGTCAGTAGCCTAGAGACTGACTCTGAGCCATAAGAATTCAGAATCAGGGAAAAATGCCAGTCTGAGGCATCTGCCACACTCCTAGCACACCCCCAAAAGCGCCCAGCTACATTTCACACCCACTGTACTAACAGGGGTCGAAATAGGGAAGAGCAGTGCAATACAGAAAACAGAGCCTGCTGGGGGCCAAAAGGCTGGGGAATTCCAGTCCTAGCCCTGCTACCAATCGGTCTGGTCACTTCTCTCTGGTCCTGGTGTGGCCAACAGTTACATGAGAGGGTAAGGTATAAAAACACAGATATCAGGCAAGCTCCAGCATCCAAAATACATAGAAATTAAAAAGCATTAAGGTGATATCAAGGAATGTATGCCATCAACCAGAAAAGTAACTGAAGTATTCCTTTTCCCATTCTTAAGAAATCAAAAGTGGAAGCAGAAAATTGAGCAATCAGCCTACTAAGTTTACTGGGGCAACAGAAGACACTCACGGATTCTGTTCACAACAGCGGGGGTGACAGAACAACACGAGAATGGCAGAGCATCCCTCTCTCCTCTGTCCACCCATGCCACCAGCACTTGAGTGCGTCCACACGCAGCGCCCAGTCTCCTGTTCCACTGATGCCAGTGTCCACTCACCGCAAGCCTACTAAGTGCTATGATGCTCCCTCATCTCATCACCATAGACATCCCTGCTGGAGGTGAGTAAGTGACAGATGAAAATCACGAAGGCCTAGGGAGGTTGAGATCCACATTCCCACTGCAGTGAGGGTGTGCTTGAGAGGGACCCCACGGCTGGGCTCTCCATGCTGCTCTCCTCAGTAATCACTCCAGACCAGAGCAGCGAGGGGGAGTTTTCTTCCTCTCACTATTTTCAGCCCCTTGGCTGACCCAGCATTCCCCAGAAAGCTATCCAGTTCTGGCAGCTCTGAGGCCACAAAGCCATAAACGCATGGGACACACAGCCCATCTGTCTCTAACGGGTCTTTTACTTGTCATGCTGGTCATTTCTAAGAGCAGATGGGTTAAGAAAGACTTGGCAAGTTACCACGAAATGACTGCTCCACTCCTCCCTGGGGGAAGGCTGACTAGCGAGCAGTCAGGCCGGCTTTCTTCCCCCACTCCCTGCATTCCTGTCCCCAAGGAGCCACAGACAATCCCACCAAATATAGGCAGGAGACAGCTGCCTCCTTCCTACAGCTGGAGGGGGGAAGGGTCCTCTCGGGCCTTTCTAACTGCATGAAAACCAAACTGTGAGCTGTACTGACCCGGGCCTCGCCCATGTTGCAGGCATGTACGACACAGGTGCCCAGTGGTATCATCAGGCAGAACTACGAATGTCCTTTTCATCGTTTTCATACAATGATTCCAGGACCGCTATTCACACAGCTCCACTTCTCACATATACGACGTGCTTCACGGATTACACAGCATGTTCACCACGCCCCTCATCCGCTCCTCCCAGCAGCCTTGTGTGATCCCTTCAGTATGCTTCCTCATCTCCATTTCTTAAGAAATCGAGTTTCTGAGGTTATGAAACCAAAACTTTCCCAAGAATATCCAGCTAGTGTTAGAACCAGGATATGAGGGCTTCTGATTCTAGAACCATTATTTGTGCCACTGTTCCACATGGGCCCCTCCAGGGATTTCTGCCTGATCTTGAAATGCAGACAGCAAATCTGTCTCTCTAGAGTCCTGGGGTTCCCTATAGACAAGAAGTCAAACTTCTAACAGAAAGCTTATACTTTTTTGGAAGGCTACCTGGGATCTTTCTTTTAAGTTAGTTTGTTCATGTTTTGGAAAGATTATTCCAACGGCAAAGTGGGGCATGAAGTGTAGAAAGGATTCCATGATGAGGCAGAGAAACAATTCGGTGGCTCTTACAACAGTTCAAATGAGGCATGAGGCGCAACCAGAAAGGACAGAGGGATAATGCATTGGAAAGAAATGCAAAATGAAGTCCACTCAGACCCAGGATGGAAAAAAGGGGACAAAGCATGATGGTGGTTTCTAGTTGGAAAGACTGATGAACAAGGATGTCATTAACTACTGCAGAGTGGTATCTGGGGCCTGGGGGCACCAGTTTGTTTAACCATTCAGCTGCTGAGCAGTCTCCGGGCTGTTTCCAGTTTCTAGCCTTCATAAATAATGCTGCTGTGAACAGATACATAAAGGTTTTTGTGTGAACATAAGTCCTCATTTCTCTGGGATAACTGCCCATGACTGTGAGTGCTGCGTCCTATGGCAATTGTACATTTAGTTTTTTAAGAAACTGTCAAGCTGTTTTCCAGAATGGCTGTACCATCTTCCATTCCCATCAGCCAACTGTGAGTGATCCCGTTTCCCCGCATCCTCACCAGCATTGGTCTTGTTACTACTTTTTATTTTAGGCATTCTGATAGGTGTATAGTGATGTGGCTTTAGTGTGCATTTTTCTGATGGCTGATGATGTTGAACGTCTTTTCATGTGCTTATATGTTATCTGAAATGTCTCTTCAGGTCTTTTATTCATTTTTAAAGTAGATGATTTGGTTTCACTGCTGAATTTTGATAGTTCTTTATATATTATAGATACGAGTCCTTTATCAGACATGTGGGTTTCAAATAGTTTCTCCCAGTCTCTAGCTCCTCTTTTCATCTTTATTTTGCATTTTATATTTTAGTCCATGATCCATTTTGAGTTAATTTTTGAACGAGGCATGAGGTTTAGAGCAGAGTTCAGGTTTTTTTCCTATGAATAATCAGGTAGCCAGTAAATTTTTTTTAACAGACAAGGTCTCACTCTGTCACCCAGGCTGGAATGCAATGACAAGATCAGAGCTCACTGCATCCTCAACTCCTGGGCTCAAGTTATCCTCCTGCCTCAGCCTCCTGGAGT